ATTTAATTCAAATTATTCTTTAGTTAAGAATTATAATTAAATCCTTGATTCGAATTATTTTTTAGTTAGGAATTAAAATTCGAATAACAATCATAGAATTCTTTAATTAGATTAGAAATTAAAATTCAATCGTTAATTTGAATTGCTTCCATTTAAACTAATTGAGCGAGTCAAGTTCGAATAAAAAACCGAACGAAAATTGCATATGTAATTTGATCACAAATTTAATTGATCTTTTTTTTAATTTCTCCAAATCTCAAACGACATTTCGTGTATTTTTTAATTAAGAATTAACATAAATCATTAACCGTTAGTCTACTGTTAATTGCCAATTAATATTCAATTTAATTAAAGATTTAATTGTTCATTTGCATGTGCATTTGTTCAGTTTCATTTTAACTATTATATTTTGTCCCTTTTATATTAAATTAAATTACTGATTTAAGCCAAACCAGAGGAATACCTGTAACAATAATAAAATATCTTCACAAACTCGTTAGAAATTGTTCTTACGAAATTTCTAATAAACTCGCTTTTAAATAATTATTAATAGCTAGAAAAACCGGTGAGGGCGGAAGGCTCGGTGGAGACTTGGTTGACGCAGCTTTTACAAACGTCGCAACAATCCTTACACTCAATAATCCGGCAGTGTTACTTCATGATCAACGACGTGAACTTTAACTTACTCGGTTTCCTGGACAAAATGCCCGCGCAAGTCGGTCTGTTGGGAATCCAAATGATCTGGACCAGAGACAGCGAGTCGGCATTGGCTCAGGCCCGCGCGGATAAGAAAATCATGACCGAGACGAACAACAGATTCCTGGATCTCTTGAATACGTTGATCGATCAGACAACCAGGGACCTTGCGAAAATCGAGAGGACGAAGTTCGAAACTCTGATCACGATTCACGTCCATCAACGTGACATCTTCGATATTTTAGTAATTTAAAAAATATTAGAATTCGTTTATATTATTTACAATTTTATAATTATATAAGATTTCTTGAAGAATTTGTTTTAAATTGCAGTGTCGTATGAACGTGCGATCGGTGAACGATTTCGAGTGGTTGAAACAGTGCAGATTTTACTTCAAAGAGGATCTTGATAAAACGTCGATTCTCATAACGGATGTGAACTTTACGTATCAAAACGAATATCTGGGATGTACAGAACGACTCGTTATTACTCCATTAACAGACAGGTATTATAGAATCTCTGTTGTACTTCGTAGCTGAGTTATGTATATAGATATACGTGGAATCTTTAATTCGTTTCAACACCAATTGGCAATTTACGTTTGGTTTTTGACTCGAATTTAGCTCGTTCAATTAGTTTAACTGGGAGGAATTCGAATTAATAATAGAATTTTAATTCTTAATTAAAGATTAATTGGAATTAAGACGCTTTTTAGAATACATTTCGATATTTTTCGATATTTTGAAAAAAAAAAAATACGGGCGAAAAAGAGGGGAAGCGAGCCGTGCGGGATAAATTCTGAGACCCCTGGGTAGAGGTCACAGCGAACTCCCTCCACACGGTTCAGTACACAGGGTGAAACATTGAGATGCGCAGAACGATCAAAAACTGAACTGTACCCGGTCCTAGACTATCGGAAACACGAGTATAGTTGGATTTTGATCTGTTTTTCGAATTATGAATATTTCTTATAGATATTTAGAAAAGAAGAGAATGATGTTCCCGAGGTTCTTCTTCGTGTCGGACCCGGCCCTGTTGGAGATACTTGGTCAGGCCTCTGACTCTCATACCATACAGAATCACTTGTTATCGATTTTTGATAACACGCGTTACGTGAAATTCCATGATATTGAGTACAACAAAATGATAGCTATCGTCTCTTCAGAGGGTGAAACGATCTTGGTATATATTTTACTTAAAGACTATTTTTACCAAAAGAAATATAGGAAGTTCCCAAGGTTCAAGATTTATTCATTTCTCCAAATCGACATTTCGTGCGTTTTTTAAATAAGAATTAAAATAAATCGTTAACAATTAGTTAAATGATAATTAAAACCTAAACGATAATAGCCATTTGTTATTCAATTTAATTACAGATTTAATTGTTTCATTATTTAATTTCTCCAAATCTTA